AATATTTAGGGGATTTTCAAACCCATAAAGGGTACCTTTAAGGAAATACTTTGGCAACAAGTATAATGGCTCTCAGTGGAATCCTGCCCACTCAGGGATGTATTTGTTAAAGCTGCCTTTTGCTGTCTGCAGTTCTACAAGAAAACCTCATCCAGACATGCCTCTCTCTCTCTCTCTCTTAGTGTGTGTGTGTGTGTGTGTGAGAGAGAGAGAGAGAGAGAGAGAGAGATATTATATACAGTAATGATATTGAATCATAAAGACAATCTAATATGAAATTTTTGGATTTTCATTTAAAGAGGTTAAATTTATTTCTGAACAGTTTTGACTACTGCTGGACTAGGTGTTGGTAGTGGCTGTGAAAGGTACAGAGTCTTTGAGGCCATTCAGAACAGAAGATCCGAGGATCTACTGATCCACGGATCAAGTATGGCGGGCCCTTCGTGAAAGAAGAGCCAACTAACGTGCTGATGGTCTCCCTGTAGAGATTGTTTGATTTCATTGCCTTGTGCCTCTATTAAACCTAGCTCATATTTAAAGCTTGGTTTAGTCAGCTGTTCTTGTCACTTTAAAGTATTGGTCAGATTTAGTTTTCAATAGAAAAAAATTGTTGGTGATTTGGGAAAGAGAACACAACTTAACAGAAGCAGTTGCTAGGTATTCAGGAAGCTTTGTTTATGGCGTTGAAATATCTCTCAATGGCTTTGATGTTCTTGATTTTTTGGTTACTCGAGTTGGTATCCTTTAAAGGCATTTCTTGAATGATTTAGAATAAGGCTATTTCTCTTTAAAATTAGCTTAATTATGGATAATGAATTTAAAAACAAATTGTTATGTTGATTTTATTAATCGATTTAAAGATTGATTTTACAATATATTTTATTTCATTCAGTAAGAATATCAGCATGTTCATTGTGGACATGTGTTTTTTTGTTTATTTGAACAGTTGCAAAGTGTAAAAGACTAGCCAACCCTGGTTGTTCTTACTGCACTGGTCTACTTTATTACCTGGGCTTACTCAATTTATTTCTTTCGTACAGTCAGCAATGTCAGTTAAAATTTTGACATTTTTGCATGATGAAAACTCTNGTGACCAAAAATTAGTATTATTTGATTGCCCTGTGAAAGTGGTGTAAAGTGGACAAATGAAAGAAAAGTGAGACAATACTGTAGCCACGGTGTTCTGCATCCTGTGTTATTGTCTTGTCTGTATCTGTCATGTGCTAAAGGCATCTTACACATAATTTTATAAACTGTTGAACAAAAAAATGAATTATATAATATTAGTTCTTAGTTATGGCATATATAATCCTTTTTATATTTCAGTAAAAAAACTTATTATACTCAAAATATTTCAGTCCACATAAGATGTTTGATAAACATTCTGTGCTTGATTTGAAACTAGATTATTTCATAGACACTGATACCTCTCAGTATTCTGAAGCCAAGATTTAGTAAACTTTGGCACCTTAATTACAGTTAAAGTAGTAGTATAAATTATAAATAAAAAGAATGTTTTTTTTGTTTCTTTAAGTGCTTGATGATTGGTTTCACTGGAGGAGGTAGTGAATGAAATCATGTTTTTAATGTATATTGATAAATAATTGAAGAGAGTCCCCTTTCTCTGGTTGTCTTGTGTGTAAATAGATTGCACAAATTTTCATACCATTCAAGTATGCTAGTTGTGATTTCTTTATGTGTTTGTATGTGTACAGCATGTGCAGTATTGTAAAAAGATGCTGTCCATAGTCAGGCCTACCTAACTAACAGACTCGACACCGAATGATCCTGAATTCACCGGTATATTGGACCACACTACCCGTTATCAAGGTGTGTGTCAGTATGCACTTCGAAGTATCAGTCGCGACACTGCTCTTGCCTAGTAAGCAATGTGATAGTGATGATTCTCAGTGGGGTTGGAAAGTAGTGCATCTCATCTCAAAATTTGTTCTGAGGTGTGATACTGTGAAATGCATACTGATGCAGGCCTTGAAAACGAGTAGTGTGGTCCAATCTACCGGTGAATTCGGGATCATTTGGTGCCGAGTCTGGTAGTTGGGTAGGCCTGATAGTTGGACGTGAGCCCCAAGGCTCAGTTTCATCAACACTGGATATAGCATTATCCTATGTATAATACTGACCATTTGATAAAAACTTTTCCTCTTGACAGTTAAATTAAGTAATATTTCATGAATGCTGCATACTTTTTTCTTTGTCTCTGATATTGCTATCCATTGGTTAAACATGGTTGCTGTCCTCATAAAAACTTTTGAGAGGATATCAGTTTTAATCCTATGGACAGTGTTATCAGTAGTATTTTGCTCTCTTTTGCCAATGAAACTGGGCATATATATACTGTGTTCAAACATGGTCGACACAATGCCCTGTCTGCAAGTGTAAAGTAGCAGTTGCAGTTTTGTACAAGGTAGGAAGGTTCAAAGTCTTTGGACCAAAAAAAATTAGTCTGTCCCACCTTTCAAAATACTCAATGCCATTTTCCTTCAAATTACTTTAATATAATCTAGATTTTGAAGATGGGGATCAAATATGGCTCCAAATTGCAAAATCCAGAACAATTCTTTTTTCATGGTGATTGAAAATTGGCTTGTATAAAAGACAACTCCATAGGATTTACCCGCCAAAATGGATATTCCACAGGAAATAAGCAATTTTCACATACACCCGAATCATTTATCTATCCCTCTCCATACTTGGATGTGACCTTTAATTAAATTTATAAAGGTTGATTTAGTTTCTTATGACTGGTCAGTCATTATAACATGTAGAGACCTTCTTCATAAGATGTCAGCATATGCTCCAGAAAAAAAAACATGTAAGGGGTTAAATCATTTGAAGGTATATGTAAGGTTTTATAAGAAGTTGTGGATAGCAAAAAAAGAATATTCAGGGGATTTTCAAACCCATAAAGGGTACCTTTAAGGAAATACTTTGGCAATGAGTATAATGGCTCTCAGTGGAATCCTGCCCACTCAGGGATGTATTTGTTAAAGCTGCCTTTTGCTGTCTGCAGTTCTACAAGAAAACCTCATCCAGACATGCCTCTCTCTCTCTCTTAGTGTGTGTGTGTGTGTGTGTGTGTGTGAGAGAGAGAGAGAGAGAGAGAGAGAGAGAGAATTATACAGTAATGATATTGAATCATAAAGACAATCTAATATGAAATTTTTGGATTTTCATTTAAAGAGGTTAAATTTATTTCTGAACAGTTTTGACTACTGCTGGTCTAGGTGTTGGTAGTGGCTGTGAAAGGTACAGAGTCTTTGAGGCCATTCAGAACAGAAGATCCGAGGATCTACTGATCCATGGATCAAGTATGGCGGGCCCTTCGTGAAAGAAGAGCCAACTAACGTGCTGATGGTCTCCCTGTAGAGATTGTTTGATTTCATTGCCTTGTGCCTCTATTAAACCTAGCTCATATTTAAAGCTTGGTTTAGTCAGCTGTTCTTGTCACTTTAAAGTATTGGTCATATTTAGTTTTCAATAGAAAAAAATTGTTGGTGATTTGGGAAAGAGAACACAACTTAACAGAATGAAGTTCTTCCATTGTCTGTGCTTTGCTTTATAAACTGGAATAGACATACTATTAGAGCAATATTGGAACATTGAGATCAATTTTGTTTAAGAAAAGCCCATAATGATCATTCTGTTGGAGATCATTCTGTTGAAGTTACAACCTTGCAGAACTAGTACCAGGTACCTGGAGGTCAGTAAGAGCAAGACTGTGCTTGAAATTTGCTCACCAAAAAAAGACATTTAATTAATATATAAGTTGAAAGGACGATAAGGAAGGGATGCACTATGAAATGGCTGTGCTTTTGTTTTTCCCTGTTGAAGGTGGTGTGACTTCAGGACTTTTACATCAGGGTTTTTAAGCAGTTTGATATATTTTGCATTTGTCCAGTAACTTCTCCCTGTTTTCAATATCCCCTTCAAGAACACCAGTAAGGGACAAGTTTAATCTGAATATTGAAATAAAAATGGTTGTATTATGTTCAGTTTTGTGTATGATAGCAGTTGCTAGGTATTCAGGAAGCTTTGTTTATGGCGTTGAAATATCTCTCAATGGCTTTGATGTTCTTGATTTTTTGGTTACTCGAGTTGGTATCCTTTAAAGGCATTTCTTGAATGATTTAGAATAAGGCTATTTCTCTTTAAAATTAGCTTAGTTATGGATAATGAATTTAAAAACAAATTGTTATGTTGATTTTATTAATCGATTTAAAGATTGATTTACAATATATTTTATTTCATTTGGCATGGTTTTAAATTTGTACTGCAGTGCAGTAAGAATATCAGCATGTTCATTGTGGACATGTGTTTTTTGTTTATTTGAACAGTTGCAAAGTGTAAAAGACAGCCAACCCTGGTTGTTCTTACTGCACTGGTCTACTTTATTACCTGGGCTTACTCAATTTATTTCTTTCGTACAGTCAGCAATGTCAGTTTATATTTTGACATTTTTGCATGATGAAAACCCTGATTATCAGATGTCTAGGAAGTCTATGAAATGTACCATTCATTTTACCAAGTCGGAATGTTCTCGTTTTAACAGTGTTCTAAACAATAGCCATTTTGGCATGGTAGAGAGAGCCCAGGGTTACATTTTAAAACTAGAATAAAATTTATGTGTCTGAAAGAATCCCTTTGTTTCAAACCATCTACTTTAAGATTGACCCTGCAGATTCAATAGTAGAATAGGCATGAGTGCTGATCCTTTAAAATTAAGAAATCTGAAGACCATTAAAAAAAAACTGTAGTGTATGGCAACTTATGTAAGGGAAAAGTTGTGATATGTATTTGACATAATTTGACATTGGGTTTTGGAAAAAGAAATTAAAGTTTCAACATCTGAACCAGTTTTCCAAAAAAGAATATATATATATTTCTTGTACAGGTGCAGGGATTATTTATTTATTTAATTTCAGTTAATTTGACCTTTGATTGATCTAATTATTTGTGTCTTCTTTTCTGCTGCATATCAGGAGGAGACACCGCAGGGATTTTTCGACGATCATGGCTTGGGATGATGATAGCATGGTGCATGCTTGTAGCTACATATGCATTACTCCTTTAGGCTTGCGTAGCAGTAACACCCCTTTCAGTGAATGCATTTTAGGACATCTTCTGGAACACAAAACAGATATTATACATGACTCAAGAGATTCAGCTACTTTATTTTGTCATTTATTAAGCATAATTAGCATTTATTCTGTTGTTTAGTGTTTGTTAACAGGGTGGCCTAAAAAGATGTTTCCATTTGCTTGCAAAAAAACTTACACCACAGAAAACTGTCTGTTAGATGGCGTATGAATAAGAATTAATAAGTTTTTTTCAATAGAAAAAGCTATTTTATGAAAAATGGAAATATCTTTTTGGACCATCTTATAATTACTTCAGATTCAGTGTTTTATTATTATTATTATTATTATTAACATTATTATTATTATTTGATAATGATATTTCACTTTTGGTGTCTGCAAATAATTAGATATCCAAGAATGATACCAAGAAAATGTGATATGTAGTTCGGTTTGTTACAAAGTTAGTATAACAAGTTGCTTTTCATGAAACTAGGGTACTGATTTGAAATCTACATATGAAAACATTTTTTGACTTAAAAAGGCTTCAGATTATGCAGCAAAGATTTATGGGCCATGTTTTATTTTACATATGGCAGCTAGCACAACAAGTTTTTGTTTTTATTTATTTATTTAATTTATTTATTTAATTTATTATTGTTTTTTTTTTGTAGTAGATAAATCACCAATTTACATGGACATTTGTCTAGTAGCCCTATGTAAAATGAAGTAAGTTCCAGTTGAATTGGCAGGCCCTGATGTCAGTGGTTTAAGGCTGCCAGTAGGGAGGTTTCTCACGCCATGAAGTACAAAGTATGAGACAGTGCAATCTATGAAAATCCTAGTGTGGCTTCACTATGTACAGTAATGAAGTAAGAATTATTTTAAAGATCATAATGTATTTCATAAGATAACATAAGTTGAAAGTGGTGCCATGGGTTTAAAAAGGTCAGTTCACAACTCGATTTCTTCTCTTTTACATGACATAAGTGGTCATGAAGACACTCGATTAAATTAATTTACCAGAGAAGTGAAATGACAAGTTTCTTACTTGTGTTTACTATATGCAATTTAATTTCTAACTTAATATTTTTGACAAAATATTTTTCATAATAATCATAAGCTGGAATGATGAACTACAAAAAACAATGAGTTGTGGTATCATAAAGTGATGATTTATTTCGCAGTTCAGGCTTTGTACTGCATTCTCCATTGTGTGTGAAACCTCTAATATGTTTCTGTGTTTACTGGACATCCACTGGCTACAGATTTATCTTCTTTAAAATGAATAAAAATGTCCCATTTCATCTCAGATTCCTTTTTTTTTTTTTTTGACATGTTATATCAGATTGTTTAAGTCAACTGTTTGATAAGTTACGAAAGTAGTCTCTTCATACTACAGCTAAACTCAAAGTTATTACCAGACTTATCCAAGATCTCAGTGTCACAAAGACAGAGGCGGATTGTGGCCGTCTTCTAAGTCTTCTGGAAGACGGACAGATTTTCAAGTTAACATTTGATGGGTATCTAATTTTTTCTGTCAGAAGACGGTCAATTATGGAAGGTGGATCAACAGAGAAAATTTGGAAGACTGTCAGAAAATATCTCTGGATCCACCCTTGCAAGACACATAGTAGCCGCTGGGTCTGAGTATAGCTTTTGTTTGAAAAAACAATTATAATAATTATATCTGTGAGTGTGACACACAAACTGTGGAACTCTACAGGGGACACCTTTATAAGTAAAGGTTCCCATATAAGATCTGATTTGCAGTGCTCTGAAAGTTACAATGTTATGTAATAGTAAATGATATGCATTTTAGAATTTGGTTTAGATCCAGAGGTGCTTTAAGGTTCTGCAAGTATTATAATTATATTTAGAATTTTTCTTGCATGATGTCATCATTATAAGTGATTGGAGTAATTTTTTAAGTTTTGTTTTTGTAGCAAGTGGTTATCCTATGTCATATGGTTGGTTTTTGTGTAAGTGCAGTGCAAATTAGAAAAGTTCTTGAAAAAATCTTGAGAAAAAGTTGCTTCTTTTAATAATTTTAAGGAAGATGTTCAGATACAATGTATTTTTGGTGATGATTATAATTATTAATCCCAAAACAAAGGAAGACGACATCAGGATGTTTCATGATATATTCATTTATTAATAAAATATCATACTGATAAGAATGTTGTTGAGGTTTTGAAAAAGAAACACATATAGTTAATTTTTTTAAAGATAGATAATCAATGAAAATGTATTTGAAATTAATGGACACTGTCATGTTCCCTCAAGTACTCTTTTGTTGCCACACCCTTGGCTATAGTTCTGTATTGCTACCAGTAACTATTAAGAAGCAAAATGATCCACTATTGAAAAGAAAACAATGAAAATTGTGAAAACTTTTTACTTTTTATGCCAGGATATATGTGGCATCATCCTGAGTGCCAGAGGGGAGATATTGAACTAGTCAAATTTGATGGAAACTTTATCATGTGGCCATAGTCTGCATGCTCTCACACAGAACGATGAACTGCATGCTCTCACACGGAGCCATAATCCACATGTTCTTACAGAGAGTGGCATGCTGTCATACATAGTGATAGTCCTCATGTTTTCACATGCAGTGATGCATGCCCATACACAGGGAATGTTGCCATAATCTCTCCATGAGGGTGGGAGAAGATGTCAGGACATATGTTACTGTATTTTGGTAGCACCCACACTAACCTTAAACCACCCTGCACACTAAACACTAACCTTGCTTGAACTGTTCTTCCAACTGCTTGCTGCAACCATAACCCCAGCTTCTGGCTTCCCCGCTTTATTTATTACTGTGCTGTATTTACAAATTGACCCAGTTGACTGATTGGTTTGAGGATTGTTCTAATTCTGTTTAGTTTGGACATATACTTTAGAACAAAAATAGTGCTTCATAATTCATTGTGGTTATTTTACAATTGTCTAGGAATGACTGATTGTTCTTTCTGTTCATCATTTTTTATTATTAAGAGTGTCTTTCAGTGTTTTTTATGTCATGTTTGTTTGTGATTGGTACTTCGTGTCATCAAACAAACAATCTCCTTTCTTTCAGTGCAGATGGTGGTGGGCCTCATTTTTCTTTTCTTGTATAATTATTATACTGCTGTGTTGGAAGTATTTCTGTATTGTCACTCTGGCTAGTAGGCTCTTCAATTAGACATGGCACAAAATCTATATAAATTAGCATTAAAAAGTGTTTTCATTGACTCACTTTGGTTTGTTTTATTATGCACAATTGTATTTTCTTGTACGTGTTGTGTTGATAATCTTATTTTTGTTGGTCAGTGTTCCAAGAGTAAACACTGCTCTTATATATTTATGTGTTCGAAGTAGAACAGGTCATTTAATTTTTATGTGCCTAAACTTTAACATTTGCTTTCTAAAAGTCAGTCTGTATATTCCTTTTTTTCTTTTTGTAAAGTATCAACTGTATACTTTCTGAATCAATTATGTATTGCTCATTGTATATCATTGATAACTGTCTTTTTTATCAGGGATGAGATTTTTCCTACTATTGGCTGATTTCTGACTTTTTGAAAGCCCAAAATATCATTGGCCCCCTTATTTCCCCAAGTCACGTTTTCCTTCTTTTTCACTAAATGGCAGTCTCATCCCTATTTTATTATCCCCATATAATTGATGTACAACAATACTGTTTGAAAAAATTAAAAAATGCTTCTTTTTTTCATCTTCCCAGCAAACACACATGCCTAGTTTTTTATACTGCGATAGTACCTATAACAATGAGCAGTATAGAACTGTTTCAGATGCTTACTACTTCTGCTTACGTGTCTTTGGCTCTGTTCACATCGACTCCCATTTAGACTGTTTTTACCAAACATTCCTCACTCTGTGAACTCGTTGGTACGAGCCAGATTTGTCCTGTGGTCAGTGGGTGATTTTAGAAATCTTCTAAATGCGTGGCTGTGAACAGAGCATTACTGTGCTGCCCTTTGTCTGAGTGTTTCTTCTTTACCCTACCTAGGAAACTGACGACACCAAAAGTCTACTAGAAGAATTGGGGCTAACAGGATAAGTTGACTAACCCGCACACTCATTCACCGTAAGCCGGCTGTCAGAGAGCACACAGACAACTGGTGTAATGCAAATGTTTTCATTTCAATTTCTGCGATACAGCACTGAAATCTTCAGAAAAAAGTCTACTCAGAAAAGCTTACTTAAAGATGTTAACATCCTCGTGACCGATGACACTTGGCACTTTCACTTGACTTTCTTAAGGGAAAGAGATAGAATAGGTTTCTTCAAGTGCCATTACTTCAAAGTACTTTTAATCTGGTAATGACTCCATTCACATCTGTTGTAAGCCATTGGAGGACCACGGTTCAGCTGGTGAATATGGATGTGATATTGATTTAAAATTAGTCAGTGACAGTATGACTGTACATTCCATTTTGTGAAATACTTGGTTTCATTTGTGCACGAAAACGTTATCATATTATTAAATAGGAAAATTGACACTATTTGATGGCACAGATTTTTCTGAAAGATTCTTTAATGATTGCACATTTTTCATCAGCTTTTTGCGGAACCGAATTTCAAAAGAACCAATGGATTGAGAAATGAATATTTTCACTGAAAGCTGTTCTAATCACATACGTTTACACTCTGCCGTTATAAAATGGGGAGAAGAAACCCGTTTATCGGAAAGGCAACTTTTTTTCAGATTTATGGTGTACAAAATGACTTTCGGTGCTGTAAAATGGCTTTAATTTTCTAGTCCAACTTCTAGTTGTTAAAGGGATAATAACTCTTTGTTTTGGCCAAAAAATGAATTTTCCTGGAGTAAACAATTTTCCCATACTTACCAATGGTTAATGAATCCATTTTTACATTCAAAATTAGTCCCTGTTTTTTTTCTAAAAAGTTTGCTTTTTTGTTATAATCTCTTAAGGGACCGTTCATATGAAAAATCTATTTTCTATTCGCGGTATCTTGTGATCACGGTCTGTGCCCTGAATACCCCGCGGCGTAATTACTGGCAGCGCGACCCAGTTACTTCCCAAGCTGTAATTAATTCTCGGCTGCGCTCGGAATGATAACAAGATACCGCAAATAGAAAATAGATTTTTAGAAAATAGATTTTTCATATGAACGGTCCCTAAGGGATTATAACAGAGTGTAGCCATCAATGGAGGTCACGTGGTCTAAAGACAAACTCAGATATCAGAATAATAGCTATAACTGCCGTTTTTGTGGTATTGTATAACAGAATATATTATATTTCTGTGAGTTGTTCACAATGTTTTTATTGTGAAATGTAGATCTCATACAATGAGTTATTATCCCTTTAACCGTGTACAGAATGACTATTGGTGCTGTAAAATGGCTTTAAATTTCTAGTCCAACTTCTAGTTGTTAACCAAGTCTAGTCTTGAAAATAAATTGTTAAAAGTGGATATTATGAGAAGTAAAATCGTTTTTACGCATATAGCTTCCTTTTTTCATAGGGTTCACATAAATGTCAAAAAATAAGCACATAAAATTAGAGTTAAATAAAATAGTCCTAATCAGTATACCGGACTCAAAAATGTATCGTCTCTAAATTGAAAACTATCAGACCTTCAAAGATATTCATACCATGGACACTGAAAACTTTTAAGATTAAAAGACATAAAGCATGATTTTTGATAGTGCACTTTAAATGTCCTCAATGTACCAAATATGATTTCAATTCATTTAAACACTTTGTCATTATATATAATTTTATTTGATGTAGTTATTAATTGTAATTATTTAGTTTATTTATTGTACAATTTAACTACTTCAAGTTGTAAGAAAGCGTTATCATTACTGAATGATACTTTGCACACCATGCAGGCCTTCCGCGGCGCGACCGTTCCGCGATCAAGCCGTTCAACTGTTCTCGGACAACGGGGTCTTTCAAAATTAACATTGCTCTGACAGAGGAGAAATTCTTTCCAAATTACGGTCTTAAACCGTGCGTACAGTACTCTTTAC